TATGAAATGAGCGTTTTTTGTGAAAATAAAACACTAATTATTAATGGGAAAGTATAAAACATTTTATTCAAAGTATTGGCCATTGTTTTCTACACATTTTGACCACCTTTCTGGCAATTTGTGGATACCACGCCAATAAAATTGTTCGTTTTTTAAAGCAAACCAACCAGACACCCAATTTTCGACCTCTTCGTAGGAATCAAAGTGCTGCTCAGCCAATGCGTGTTCCATCGATGAAAACAAATAGTAGTCGGAAGGAGCCAAGTCTGGTGAATACGGCGGGTGGGGTAGCAGCTCCCAGCCAAGTGTTTTGATTGTATCCTGAACCGGCTTTGCTTTGTGTGCAGGTGCATTGTCATGGAGCAAAATTACCTTGCCGTGTCTTCTGGCCCATTCTGGTCGTTTCTCGATCAATGCATGGTTCAAATTGATCATTTGTTGTCGGTAGCGATCAGTATTGACGGTTTCACCAGGTTTTAGGAGCTCGTGGAACACCACACCTTTCTGGTCCCACCAAACACACAGCATTGTCTTCTTGCCGAATCGATCTGGTTTTGCAGTCGATGTTGATGGTTGTCCCGGATTAACCCATGATTTTTTCCGTTTAGGACTCTTAAAATAAATCCATTTTTCATCGCCAGTAACAATCCGATGCAAAACCGATTTTCTTTCGTGTCTTCGAAGCAAAATTTCACAAGTGTTTTTTCGGTTTTCCATCTGTCTTTCATTGAATTCATGTGGCACCCATTTTCCACACTTTTGGATCTTTCCCATAGCTTCTAAACGGTCAGAAATTGTTTGTTGTGCCACATTTAACATTTCTGCCATTTGCTTTTGACTCAAAGTGTCATCTCCATCCAATATCGTTTGCAATTCGGCGTCTTCAAACTTTTTTGGTGGTCTTCCACGTTCTTCATTTCTCACGTCAAAATCATTATTTCTGAACCGTTGAAACCATCTTTTGCATGTTGCTTCTGATAGAGCATGATCACCATATGCCTCGACAAGCATTCGATACGACTCTGCAGCACTTTTCTTCAAATGAAAACAAAAAATTAATGCTTTCCGCAAATCATCACTTTCCGGTACAAAATTCGACATTTTTAACACGATGAAAAAATATGATGTTGTCTGTTCAATGACTTGATGTATACTAAATATGTTTCACAGATGTCATAGCAAATAAACAAAAAAAAATAAAGGCTCGTTCACAACAAATGTTCCCTATCGAGACATTTGTATCTTGACGCTCACTTCCTTCCGGTATACCTGGTATATACACATCATATATACTTTCTTCGGTAACAACTGCACCGAGTTCTGACGTACAGTCTGTTATAGTTTTTACGGGCGATTTTAAAAATAAGAAGTATCAAATCAGTTTGTTATTAAGTTTGTGATTAAATCAGGGGCGAGTTTAGGGAGGCGGGGGTCCTAACTCAGACTTTTTCTAATCACTTTTTTCAAATTTTAATTTTGGACAAAATAAAGTTTCTTTCGGGTCAAGCTTAAACTATCATTTAGTAAAGTAAACAGCATGAGAAAAACTAATTCACGTGAGTATTTGTTAAAAAGTCAAAAAATATTTTTCTGTCCTCCTCTAAAATATTTCTGAATTCGCCCCTGATATAAATGATGCTTCAATTGTATTGTGAGAAATTTAAGGAAAATAAATTTGCACTTGAAGCGATAAAACTAAATGGTTTTATAGTTATTAATTATATGTATCATTTGATATTATGGAGATATACAACTTATGGTGAGGGGGCGCCAAGAATGGTGGGGCGCCCCCCCCCTCTTTTGAAAAGACGGGGGGGGGGGGAATTCCTTTAACCTCTGACCCTCCCCACCAGCACCACCTCCCAACCCTTTTCTCATTACTAAGATCCTATTTGTTATAAATTTTTTTTGTATGAAAAAACTAGTTACAGATAAATAGTTTTCCTAAAGGTTAGCAAAAATCAGGCGTCGGTTAGTTTGCCGCGGCAAATCGGAAAATGTTGTAAATACCGGTCAAATTTTATGAAAACTGGGTCAAACCTAAGGGTCCAAAATTCTTAAGCACAGTCTCAAACTTATTCAATTATCATAAAGTTAGGCTTAAAATGATCATATGAACATAAAAAATTAATTAAAAAACAGTGCCTTTAAGATTTTCATTTTGAAGGTTATCTAATCGGACTTAATATGAATTTTTGAGGTCAAAATTTGATATTTAAGCCAAGTGAGCGGGGTCCAAAATTTGTGCAAATGAGTTAAACTTTGGTTTTTATTGATCACAGAGAAAACCCACAGCATGTGGAAAACAGTCTCTTTTGATTTTCAAAAATGAGGGGCGTTTAGCCTACCCTAATATAAATATATATATAGGGGGAGCAAGAAAATGAGGGGCTCATCAAAACAAAATAGTTGTTTTTTTTAACTTAAAACTAATTTTCATAAAATGGTATGTCAAGTAAATTTTTAAATCTTGTTTTAATAAAAACATGTTTTTGCAACTCTTCATATAAAAATGTGCCATGTTCAGAATAGTGCCCATTGAGGGTTTCTTTGAACAGAAGTTAATGTATGCAAATTATGTTTTTTAATGTAGTTTTTATGATTTTTTTCAGGTTACAATATTTTTTCATAACATGAATGGACAAATATGGGCGTATTTAAAAAATGTAATGATAAAGTTATACAGAAGTTTTTATTGTAATTATTTTATTTTTATTGTAAAAACATTAAAGGACTTGTTGAGACAATAATAAAAGAGAGAAAATTTTCCAAAGATTATATTCTAATGCTTACAAGCCGCCAGTAAAAATTTATAAAAAGCTTTTAGCTGCATCTTATATTAATTGCGTTAACCTTCCACTAGTTAATCTGTCTAAAGTAACGTAAAAGTTATTAAAATATTTGCTCCACTGGAACTTTATCTCCTTTGTGTAAATACAAACAGAATTTATGATAATCTTAAAAAATATTTGCAACCTATGAATGCTAATTTATTGGCAAACCAGTGGAACCAAATTTTAGGTTTTCAAAAGCCTAAGCTGCATGGTTATCAATTTAAAGAAGAATGTTTGAAACTACTAAAAATGTTCATGTGCTAAAAGAATTAATAAAACCTTCTAAACTTGAAAAAAATGAAAATTTCTATAGTTAATTTTTTTAAATATTTAGTTAAAGTTGTACTGTTAAGGTACTTTTGTTAACTAAAGAATATACAAACTAAATTTGAAATCAAAATTATGATTTATTTGGGCGTAAAAAAAGGAAGTCATTTTTATTTTGTTAATAGAAGCCTCCTTAAAACTATAGGATAATTTTTATACAGACCAAAACTTTGACCTCAATTACCCGGTTATTGGGACCATGGTTTTTTTGTTCCCAACCTCCAATCATCGCAATTTTTTGCAAAGCCTCATTATTTGACGCAAGTATAAAAATATAAATGTTTAAAGATTGCTCCATGTCTGGAAGTTACCTCGAACAACAAAAATTCTGTCTACGCCTCTGCATGTTAGATATTTGCATAGACTTTGGTTCACATAGTTAAAAATACATATCATTACGGATTATGGTTTCAAAAAAATACCTAATAGCTTTGTAAAATAAAATGGAGTGTCTATTTGCACGTTTTTCACGTGCGAATAGACTATAGTTAATTATAGTCTATTCGCACGTTTAATTAAAAAAAGGTAAAGGTAATCGAATTTAAAGGGAATTTTAAAAAATTAGATTTATTATTATTAGTTTTTAACTTTAAAACTAAACTAACGCAGTCGAGTATTAATGCAGTACTTGTGTTGACTGACTTTTGAAGGATATGTGCACCGTAGTGTATATACATACTGATTGCTTATCTAGGGATAAGTATAAATACAATGACGAGGGTTTTGGATTGGGCAGGTAATCTTTTAATTAAAAAAAAAAAAGTATTTCTTAATGTTTATTATACCTATTGGCACGTTTTTGTTTGTTTTTTGAATAAAATTTAAGCAATTTTATTCATTTTTATTTGATTAAAAAAGTTAAATTATTTTCAAAATATATGACTTAAGTTATAAACTTTTTTTGTTTGTGAGAGATTTCATATTATCATATAATTTTTTTTAATCGTGCGAATAGACTAATGTCTATTCACACGTGCGTGCGAATAGACTTACCTAAAATAAAATACATTTTTATTTACATATTTATTACTAAAGTAATAAAAAAATAACAATTTTTTTATTACTTTAGTAATAAATATGTAAATAAAAATGTATTTTATTTTAGGTAAGTCTATTGAACAAACACGTCACCTGATTAATCTAAAAAAATTAACCGAATTAAAAAAACGAAAAAATTACACCACATCTATTAACTATAAATCAATTTATTTATACATAATAACAAAACAAAAAATATATATTAAAATAACTGGAAAAAACCCTTTTTATTATTTCAGAGAGTGGGTTTTTGGGTTTTTTGATTTTTTTTGGTTTTTTAAAATGCTATCATTATCAAAATGAAAAAGCTATCATTATCAAAATGAAAAAATCAAATATTAATGCATGGCAATCATAATATTAATGACTGCATGACAATCATAATATGGAGATTTCCAGAAAATTCAATGAACATCATAACGAAATTGTTTAAGATATTAAAATTTTAGCAAAAAATTACAATGTCATAATAATAGTTTTTAAAACATAAATTGTAAAAACAAAAAAGCCAGAATTCTATTTCAATGGGTTTTTTAAAAAAAACCCAAAAAACCCAAAACCCAAAAACCCACTTTGTCCAGCCATGAGTAAAACTATAAAACTTGATGTTTTAATATCTTTTAACATTACACAATTTGTAGTTTACATAAGATATTTGCATACACTTTCGTTGATTAAGTCATTACGTAAGATAATTGCATACACTTTCGTAGAAACACTGATGAGTGGAAACTCGCCTTAAAAAAATACCATAGTCCGTTGCTTTCCCGCAAAATAATTTAAAAAATAAGTTTGTATGTGAAAAACTGTAACTGTTAAACCGCGGGAAATTATATCGTTGTAATTTTGCCTATATTTTATTGCAGTAATTTTGTCTTTAAGGCAGTAAATTTGCCTTTAATAAATTAAAAAATTTTAGCATTTTCTGTTTTTCTCATATTTTGGATTAAAGAGTGTTGTATGCAATATCGTGTTGAAAATGGTTCGTACAAGAGCTGAAAATTCATCCAGAAAAGGTTTGGGTTGTTTTGAATGGTATTATTATTTGAGATGAATAATATAATAACCGTTTGAAAAATAATTTATTGTATTAAAAATATTTATATTCATTCGAAATCATACAAATAGATAATATATTAAATATTTGTAATTATAACCATGAACCACTGAAACAAGAAATGAAAAGAAACATCCTCACTTCATCCGATTCATTCTACAAAAAGTTATGAGATTTTTAGTAGCTAACTTTTGATATATGGTAAATATGATAATTGTATCTTAGAGTTGCAGGAGGTTGTTTTAGTGATGGTTCAACACACATCCTGTTTTAAAAAGTGTTTAAATCAAAAATAATATATTTATCTATATTAAAACTAGTTAAATAAGAACACAGTTTAGATTTAAACATTTGAAATTGGAAAGTGTAAGTAAAAACTCTTTAAAGTGCCTTAAGTGCCATAATAGAGATATGTACGATATAGTTAGCCCATACTAAATGCAATGTAAGATTTGTAATATTTTAAATGTTAGTTATTTATAAATATGAATTTATTATTTGTATTATTTTATTATTAAGTATTTAGTATTAAAGATTTTTACTATAACAGTTTTTTTTTATACTAAAACAATATGGCTTATGTTTACAGTTCTTAAAATTTTATTTATCATTATTGAAATTGAAATAATAGTTGTTGATGTAATTATTTGCAATGGTTACTAAAAATGCAACCTCCACATTTACCAAATTCAGAAAATCTTGTAGATAATGAGATTTAAAAAATTGCTTCTTTGCCAAAAATTTAACATGAGAACATCAACAAAGTTTTAATGAGCAAAAAAATCAATAAAAAAGTTTAGTAACCATACATAAAAGTCATATAAAAAATATTATTAGTTTTTTTATTCTAAAAATAATGTTTATACATGTTTCTAATAAGAAACACCACAAAAATACATTTGTTTAGCACTAACTTTTAAAAATGTTTAAAAAAAACATGGCACAGAACTTTAGCATTAAAATTGGTTCAGTAAATTGCCATTTCTGTGTACCTAGTATATAGACACCTTTGCATTAATATCAATATTTTTGATATTATGTTTGTTCTACTACAAAAAATATCTGCTCAAAATAAGTCTGTTTGATGATTTTAATATTGATCTGATACAATCAAATAATGACATTGCGACATCTGATTTTTTAAACTTACTTTCTTTTTATATTTGACCTAGTATCCTTTTGTCAACGAGAGTTACTGATCACTCTGCTACAATCATTGATAATATTTTTCTAATTTAATAACTCATAAAATTATTTCAGGAAATTTGGCAACTTCTGTTTCTGATCACTTTTTTCAATTTTTTATTTGTCCCAAAAGAAACTTTGACTGGGATGATGTTGTCTAATGATACTAACTCATGTTTCCAAATGTTTAAAAAAAATCTATTTTGAAGAATTTTTTTCAGGAAATATAAAAAATCTTTGGAAACTTTGGAGAGGCAAATATATATCAAAAATATATCAATATTCCAAATATATATCAAAAATTTTATAAAATTATTTCCCAATGGTTTACAAGAAAATGAAACTTATATAGCTGATCGGACTCTTTTCTCTAAAACATTTAACACTTTTAATGTTGCTCGTAAACTCAAATTTGATATTCATTTGTCAAATCAAAGCAAAAGTATCTTAAATACCCAAATTTATATAGCTTACTACAATCCTGAAATTTCATCTCTTATATCCAAATTGAATCTAAGAAAATCATTAGGTCCAAACAGCAATCCCATAAACATTCAACAGGTCCAAACAGCAATCCCATAATTCTTATAGATTTTTACTATGAGTTTTTAAATATTCTTTTTAAGCTGTTTAATACCACATTCAAAAGTTAAACATTTCATGATAATTTGAAACTATTTGTTAAGAATGGCTCTAAACTTTCTACACAAACTATAGACCTATTTCTCTCCATATTTTTAAAAGCTTACTAATGTTAGATACATTAGTAAGCTTCTTGAAAAACCTATATATTTTAGAGTACACTCTTTTCTAAACTCATTTAATAATTTAAAGGTTTTTCAATTTGTTTTTGATCAAAACAATCTATACTTTTTTGTGGTCATTTTGTTGTGATGTTTTTATTGATTTACTAAAAGCTTTTGATACTAAAAGTGTTTGATACTAAAAGTGTTTGCCATAATATTTCGATTTTTAAATTAATACATTTTGGAATTTAAGATGTTGTAAATAACTGGTTTCAATCTTATCTTTTAGATTGAAAACAATTTGTAAGTATTAATTGTTTTAATTCTAGTAATAAATCTATTTTGTTTGGTGTTTTTCAAGGTTCTGTTCTTGGTCCTTTTTTGTTGGTCTATAAGCATGTTTTTGCACAAATATGAAGTTTTATGACAATATTTTTTTAATTTGTGTTATCGAGCTAACCAACTCTGTTCACTTCTTGTCAGTTTGCTGATTACACAAATCTCTTGCATTTCAATAAATAGTATCATTCTTTATGTAAAAATATACTGATCTTAAAAAATATAATATAAAAATGTAACTCTGATATTAAAAGTATAATTCACTGGTTAAATATGTCTAAACACAAAAAAAATTTGTTTTTTTTTATCTCTGATAAAAAACTATTTCTACAAAAATGTTGAAATGTTAAAATAAAAAATAATAATAAACTGCTATATCCTTTGGGTTATTAAATATTTTGGTGTATTAATTGACTGTGATCTTTCATGAAGATTTCACATTAACGAGCTACACAAAAAACTACTTCAAACTAATGATATGTTTTATAATAATTTTATTTCTTAAGTATAACTTTATAAACATAGTTGGTCATTATGTTGATAAAGTTAAACAATACTTACTATGTATTATTCTTATCTTATCTTAGTTGTTGCAAATTTATGGTCAAGTCGGAAACAATTGCATTAACAAGTAGCTATTGTTTCAGCGTCAATCCATTAGAATAATAAACTTCCAGCCATTTAAATCTGATACATCAAAATCTGATAAAACCAAGATTCCCTAAAGGAGTTTTTTGGAAAATTATGTTGTTTAATTGTTAATTGTTTATAAGAGGAAGATGGTTTATTAAAAGCATTCTTAGATAAAGTTTTTATATTATTTGTTTGAGTAGTGATCAAAGCAGAGATTGTTGAGGCTAAATATCTTAAAGAGACTTTATGTAGTTTTTTATTACAAACAGGTTATAAGTGGATAGATTCTACGCTTTCACAATATATTATTCTAACGATTGGCTTGAAATAGAGAGTGTTGATGAAATAGTTACCGGGCTAAAATGCAGGATATGCCAAGAATATGCTTCTTAAATTCTGATTTTAAAAGGGTACACACCAGAATAGAATGGTGGAAAAGGATGCAGTTGATTGCAACACAGTTCTGCAATTATACATGCAGAAGGAATGTCGCACCAAAAAGCTTTTGAAATATTTGCAAATATTAACGCAAGAAAAAGTGTAATTACGTAGAATTTTTTTTTTTTTGCAGCGCGCTGTTTTGATAAAATCTGTTTGAAATAAAATGAAGCAAATAAATATAATTGTTCTAATTAAAAAATTATTGTCATAAAACTTCATATATGTGCAAAAACATGCCTATAGACCATACAATTCTATAATCTATAGAACAAATGAATAAGATTAAAGAAAAAAAACATTAGGTACAACTTTTTTATAATTTATTGTTACTTCATCTAGAGGACTATTAAAAATCTAATTAATAATACTTAACTTAATAGTGTTAGTAGTAGTAGTGCCCTTTCGAGCCTTTTTGATACAGAACTCTTGGCAGCCATTGCAATTGAGGTAATGGCAAGAAAGAGAGGTCCTTGTTTGGACCTGTTGAAACTGAGGTAATGGCGAAAAAATCTTTAAACAAAGGCGTATCTCTGAATGAAACAACAGAATGTTTCTACTTTTAAAAGTATTTTTCAGAAACAAAATAAAACTAACTATTCAAAACGATTACGAAATTTACTATTTACAAAAAAAAAACTTACTTCCATCTTTGAATTCTTTTTTAATTTTTCAATTTTTTGTTTTATTTCAAATTTTAATCACACAATTATTTGAATAAGAGAATTTTTAATTTTAAGAATCTTTGAGTATATTAAGTTAATTAATATAATTGATAAGTTAATATTTGAGTAACTGTAAGTAACTGTAGTAACTTAACTGGTTGTTTTGGTTTAGTTAAACTACTTTATCCATTCAGTTTTATCCATTTATCCATTCAGTAAATCAAAGTAAATATAACTTTAAAAGTTTCAAGGTCGTTAAAATGTCGCAAAATGTTGAAGCAAAAATGTTGGTTTATTAGTATTTATTAATTGTTTGAAAAACACTTTAATAAAAATGAATTAATATATATTTTAATATACTTAAAGTAGTAAAATTAATAATATAAAATTGTTGATAAAATAATAATTTAAATTATTAATAATAAGTTAATTTGGTGCAATGTTTTGAAAACAAAGATAAAAATCAGGGTGCTTTGTTTATAAAAAAAAGAATAAAGAAAAAATTTGTTTTAACATCTTTTTCCTTTTCTACTTTTCGCTTTAACGACCTTTTAAATATTAATGTTTTCCATCATTTAACATCGTCTTGAGTTATCATTAAAAGATAAATTAGGAAAGACTAAATCATTTAATGACGTTGATTGCATTATTTTAAGAATGCATTACATTTACAAAAAATCAACCTAAGAAAGATTACCAACTTAAGAAAGCCTCTGGTATTATTTTGCTTGATTTATTTATGTTATATTGTTTACCATTTTAGTTATGCGTGACGGATCTGTTAATATTCTTCATATTCAATGAAAAATGAATGGGTTCTGATTCTACTTCTTGTCGAACTATTATTTATTTTGCCTGTATCTAATGCAAGTTAAATGTTTTTTTTCAATAATTAATAAAATGAAAACGCAACTCTCTGAAAGAGAAACATTTGCAAAATTTAATTAGTAAGTTTGTAAGGTAAAGGTTCTAATGTATTTGAGTTAAGTCCTGCTATAAAGTTATGGTCAAATGATGTAGTACCAAGGCCAACACAATCAGAAAGAAAAAATTACTCAAAAAGAGCGGAAAAAACTGGTTTAAAAACATTAATTGATTTAGATTTGTCATCTGACAAATCAAGTAACGAATAGTTCAAAACCTTTTTCAGTATTTTGTTTGTTTTTTAAATAAATATTCTTGTGTTAAAGTTTTATTCATCAAATGTTTTATTAAAGGTTCCTAATATTTCTTGTATCATTTTTGTAAAAAAAACTTCTTTTTTTTTCGGTAAGTGAAATCGTAATAGTTCGATCATGTTTGAATAGCTTTTTCATTATGTATGAATGCAAGAGAAAAGAAACATTTTTGCAATTAAACTTCAAATAAATGAGCTTGATACTTTTATCTAATTTGGTTTTTTTTTTGTCAATTTTAAATGTTTTTACTAAACAATGGTTTACAATGTTGCAAACAGTTGTTTAGTTTAATCTATAGTTTTAAATAAATGAATGTAAAAAATATATTTTTTATTATAAATATAATAAAGATATTATAAATATAACAAATATATTTTGTAATATAAATATAAAAAAATAATCATAAATGGACGAGATATTCATAACAAAAATCTTTTAGTTAATGACATAATGCGCTAAAAAATATCTTAAGGTGATTAGAAAATAAAGTTTTTTTAACGCTTTGAATGAATGACTTTGCATAATCGAATGACAAATCAAAAGTTGACTTGATCAACTTAATTTCTTATTTGTTAATTTTTATGATAAGTTGGAATAAGTCTGACAACTTATCATAATTTTTTTTATTTAAAGGCTCGTATATATGCCTTTATAACAAAACACTTAAAAAAAATTTATTCATAAGGCTCTTTTTTATTTATAATGTGACACTTTAAAGCAAAGCCCGGTATAAGCTTTTATTTTGATTTTTTTTAATGTTTTGGAATTTTAAACTAAGTGGGAATTCTGTGGTATAAGCTATCAAGCACAAACATAAAAAGTGTGATGCAAAAATTGCTATACTTATAAAAATTTGATACAGACTAACAAAATTTGATCGTTCGGAAAATTGTTTGATCATCTACTTTTTAATTCTTATCATTTCAGTCGATCAGTGTTGATCGGCAGCCTCTAAATAATTATTTTGAGCGCTGGTAGTATGAATATAGTCTGTGTGCTTAAGTCTAAATTTATTGTTGTTATAATGATTATATGAAAGAAAATTTATTCTTTCACATAATCATTGCATTATTCTTACATATAACTATCAGGAATCTCAAATTATTTATGTTACAAATAGAAAATCAAGATAAAATTAAAAATAAAGGGAAGAAAAAAATCTTTTTGTTTTATTTAAATAATATTTAATAATAAATAGTATATGTAAAGTATTAGTATTTATAGAGACTTATTGCGATTGCTACATCTCCACAATTATTTTAGTATTGTCATCTTATATAATTGAAATTCATTGAAATCATTTGACATTAAAAATGTAGCAAAACACCTATTGATTGCTACTTTCCCATTTGAATCACACTGATAACTTTGATATTTATTAAAAATCATCAGATAAATGTAGAAATTTTTATACCTGATAACTCATGATCTTTACCTATTAAATGTTAATTTTACAGTTTGCAAGATGTTTTGTGTACTTTAAAAAAATATTTTGAAGCTAATTTGAAAGTATTATGAAATCTATCCAGCTCTTATCACTAAAAATAAAGTCAGGTACATCAGTTTTACCTTTAAATCAGTGTATATAAAAATTTTTACTCTTATTAATCACATATGGTGAAAGTGTTCAGTATACACATAATTCGCTTTTCTACTAACTGATATATAATTTTGTTTTACCTGTATGTTATTAGCTTAGCAGCTTAATCTACATCAATCAACTGTCAGGGGCTATACTAGGAAAATAATTTGGGCGAGCGTACCCCCATAACAACGCAAGCTGAAGGAAATTTGTTGTATATAGGTATTTTTATGTGAAAAAAAGGTCAACTTCTGAATTTAGGTGGAGCGCAAATACAGTCGATGCTGTCAAAATCAGCCCCTGACTGTTTATATTATTTATACTTTGGGATCTACTTTTTTATAAATTTAATAATCTTCTGTATTTATTCAATTTTATTTTGTGATAAAAATATTAAGTAACAAATAAAGTTTTTTTCCCTAAATACACAGTTCTTCAGATTTAGGGAGACAAGATTTTTAAAGAAATTTTGCTTGATTTTAAATTATATTTTTTTAGCTGTTGCTGCTAAAGCTCCAAGAAAGTCATTAGGTAGTGAATCTAATGGTGGAAGTAGCATGGCTTCATGTTATGATTCATCTTCAAAAAATGGAAGTTTTCCCTTAATCAACCATGCAAAAATGTGGCCTACTCCAACATGGCAAAAAGGTAAAATTGTTACAAATACATGAAGTGTTGTGTTGAATGTTAAATTTGCTTTTTTGACTTTTTTCTTTAGTTCATTAGGATTTTGTTAAAATATTGTCATTAGGAATTTGTAAAAAGATGTAATTTGAGTTAATCTACATTTCTCACTGTTTCCCAGACAATCTTAACGTTTTACCTTCACTTCTTAATTTATCATTTATATTTCTCATCACTTTCTTCAAGGTAATAAGTATACACATACACACATTTTTTTTAAAATTGATAGATAGCCACTCCAAACCAAAAATTGATGTAACCCTACTCCTTGCCTCTTCTACTTATTCAAGTCAGTCAATGTAGCAAAACAAAAATAAAAAAATTTAATAAAATTTAATAATAAAAACAGTAAAAAAATAATTTAAAAAAACAAATTATAGTCTATTAAGTTGCCCTTATGTGGTTTCTTAACAAATTATAAAATTTAATTTGTTTCCTCAATTATTATAATAGTTTTTATAGCGTATACTTTGTTTTTACTTTGTAGCGTATTTGTCAGCGTATTTGTTGAGAGTTTTTTTTACCATAAACAGTATATGTCAGTATCAAATATATATAAAGTAATTTATTATTATATATATATAATTGTATATATATATATATATATATATATATATATATATATATATATATATATATATATATATATATATATATATATATATATATATATATATATATATATATATGTATATATATTTGCTGTTTTTGTTTTAATTGTGATATACATATTTTTGATTACTTTCATTTAGAATTTTTTTTTTTTAATATTTAAGCCTTTTTTTTTTTTTGTTTTTTTATTTGTTTTATCTAGAATTTAAATTAAACGCATGTTTTAACATTCTTTTTAAAATGATTTCATTTAAAGTTCTGATTTTATTTTAATTTAAAATAGCAAATATATATGAATTTTTTAAATCGTCCACACCAGCCTAAAAATGATCATCCGGCTAGTGCTTTTTTGTGCGCTAGTGTTTAATTTTATATATTTCTTTTAAACTCTCCAAAAAATTACATTAGAAAAATCTCCAACTCCAAAAGAAATTATTATGTACACTTATCTACTTAAATTATTATGTACACTTATCTACTTAAATTATTATGTACACTTATCTACTTAAATTATTATGTACACTTATCTACTTAAATTATTATGTACACTTATCTACTTAAATTATTATGTACACTTATCTACTTAAATTATTATGTACACTAAATATTTAAAAAGAAATGAATTAAAACTAGTTGATGTAACTAAAGGTTCTAGCTGTATTTACAAATATCAACACCAGGCGCTACTGAATTCATCATATATCGACCACATAACCATATCAAAATATTCAAGTTTTTTTCAATCTTAACAGCATTTTTCATCCTTAATCCTCAAATAATTTGAGTGACCACTTTCCACTGTCAATATTATTAGAGTTAATGGTCAGCATACCAATTATAATATTGTCAAAATAGAAAAAGATACTATTCCTAGCTATGCTTAGATTCTAACTTTATTCATATAATTATTTTTTAGTACAAGTAGTTATAAACACGACCTTGTCCAAGTCTAAGTACATTGTATTATAGATATAATACTGACTGCGCTATAATAGCTTTTAAAGGGACTTTAAATTTAAAAGCAATCATTATATTTAAACTATTGGTGGACACCTGAGCTAAGTGGAAGTAAAGCTATTCTTAACTTTAAAAAATGAAGTGATAATGACTTTATTAATTATTTAAACTCTTTAACATTTAGTTTTTACCTAATAGCTTGATAAAACTTTAGCAAAGCCATCAAGTTCAAAATAATTTGCAAGCAGTATATTAAAATTGAAAAAAATGTTGACATGGTACAAAAAACCCACAGCAACTACCAATTTTTTATAATTTTTACAAAAGTTTATAATTATACGGTAATTAGAAATATTCACCCCCTTCAATTTGGATTTAATAATAACCAGGATTGACAAAAACCCGGGTTTTTAAAAAAAAAAAATGATCTAGTGGGTTTTTTTGGGTAATTTTGGGTTTAATTGGGTAAATTTGGATTTTTTTTGGTTTTATTTTTATTTCATCTCTGTAAAAAAAATTTTGTTTTTTTGTTTAATGATATTGAAAATTAGTTTCATTTTCTACTTTTACTTTATTTAAAATATATTTTATATATTATTTAACAATTTATAACAAGATTTTTTCAAATTATTTTGAAAAAGATTTTTAAATATAATTTAAAACTGTAATAGAAAAAAAATTTCAGGTTAAATCTATATGTATTGATTTATTTTAAATTTTAAAGTATTATTCTATATAATTAAAAATGTCAATGAGAAATGATAAAAAGAAGGCTAGAAAATGAGAAGTAGTAACTGAAGTTTCAATTAAACTTTGAACTTGAAATTCAAATGAACAAAATTGTTTATAACTAAGTTGGTTATAATAGTTCTTAAACTTATTAAATATCTTTAAAAAACCCAATAAAACCCAGATTTTCCCGGGTTTTATTGGGTTTTTAGATGGGTTTTATTGGGCGGGTTTTTTAATGCCAACCCTGATAATAAAAGTTCTATGCTAGATGCTGAATTTGTAATAAGCTAAACATTTTAACATTACAACAGCAACAATTCACCTGCGTACTTATGCCCCTTAGGCCCAAAAATAGCCTTTGATAGCTGTAACTGGGATATCCTATATGAAAAATTATATTTTGAAAAAAAGTTAACACTCCGTAAAGTTAACACTATTTCTTTATTGTACAACAGTAGTGCGATAGTTTTGTATCAAGATTTCAAATCAAGTTCTTTTCGTCTAAAGCAAGGAGTAGGACAAGGTTCAATTCTTTCACCTTACCTCTTTAACATATACACTGTAAGTCTTCTCGAAACCATTAAAAATTATAAAAAGCATTGTCGGCACATCTATATATGCTAACTTTACTGGTGTGATAGCATATGCGGTGATGTTATACTTTTAAGCTCTAGCCTTTCTGGTCTCAAAAAGTGCTGTGGTCACAGTGGTTTAAATTGTATTAAATTGAATGCCCAAAAGATAGAATTTTTAATTTCAGGTAAAGCAACAGATACAAAGCAATAAGCTCCATGTTTGTTCTGAAGACTTTTTTTAATACCATTTCTGGTATTAAAAAAAGTCTTCAGAACAAACATGGAGCTATGTAAAAATAGTGACGCATTAATGAAAATGTTAGATAGAATTGAAAAGAGCTGAAATCATGGGCTGAAATCACTAATGAATCTTTTGAAACACAATAAGAACCATATGAGTTTTTGGTAATTAACTGCAAGTATTATTTTTTCATGTATTTCAAGTATTATTTGGTCTGGCGTTAAATTTTAATAATTGAATACAAAAAAAAAAAGGTGATAGTAGCACTTTCCAAGAGTAAATTTTCTCCAGGCATTGAAAAAACTTGCAGTAGAGTACTGTAATGCAAAAGAGCAAAGAAACATTTTCAAACAATTTTTTGACAAAAAAACATTATCAAAATATATATGTATATATACACACAGATAGATAAGCATATGCTTACTTATCTTTATAGCATAGGCCTTTTTAAGAAAAAAAAATATATATATATATCAGGGTATTATCCAGGAATAAATTTTACATAGTATTTTTATGAAATTTGGAGTTTTGATTGCCGTTGCTATTCTACTTTCTTCTCCATGGTCCCCTGGCACCATTAGGGCCACGGAGAGTCATGGAGTGTTTTAGTCAGTGTTTTAATCTTTTTTAATTCATTTAAAATGTTAAAAAATAGTGTGTGTTTATCTGTCAAATTTCTGCCATTCTTTAAGCCACTACTTTTTTTACTTTAAATAAGAAAACTAAATTAATGCATTTGTCAAACATGAGTAAATTTTGTTAAATCTATTTACAAATAATCATTAAAACTCTTTAAATAATCTATAATGTTAAATATGAAAACATGTGTAAATAAAAAGTTTAAATATTTAGCAGTTTTTAATTAATTTGATATTTTTTTATAAAGTTCCCTAGATGAAAAAATCCTTTAAAAAATATTTTTTAAAAACAGTTTTATTAATTCTTGTATAAATAAAGATTATGTGGCCAAATAATTTGACACCATGTCTTTTTATTTTTTTTCCAACTAAGAATTGAAAAAAAAAAAAAAATTAAAATCTCACATCAAACTTGAATTATAATTCCAACACATTTTTTCAAAAAATTGAAAGAAAAAAAAAAATTTCATAAATTTGACGTATCTCTGTTACATAACATATTGATTTTTTAAACTTGTGAAATTCAATAATTATAATTAAAAAAAAAAATAATCAAGTTTTAGAGAACTAGAAATAGTTAAGTAATAACTCAAATTGTTCAAAGCTATGAAATGTAACATAATTGATAATGATATTTACTCTGATATTTACATCAAGTCGAAGGTGACACATGCTTGACACATGTTTTTTCTTGGTAACAGGGTAATCTGTCAGTTCTTAACAGGGCTGTGGAGTCGGAGTTGTGGAGTTGCGACATTTTTAGAGGAATCGGAGTCGCTAAACAAAATTGTGACTCTGATCTGATGTAAAACTTCTCAGTTCTCAGCATGTTCATGAACAAAACATTTAGTTAACCTTATGTTCATACTAAATCTTAAAGAACATTTCATAAATTTTTCAAAAAAATTTTTTTCAACTTATCGCATAATATTTTTTAAAGAATTCAAATTTTGCTTTGGAGTCGGAGTCAGAGTTGTACTAAAAAAATGTCAACAACTGGAGTTGAAATCGTTATTTTTTTTTACAACTCCACACACCTGGTTCTTAGTTTAATGAATAAATAGATATCATTACTTTTTTCTTCATAAGAATTAAAGACTATATAGAATAATATATTGTTTATGTATTAATTAAATCAGTGGTTTTGAAAAGAACATTTTCATATTTTTTTTCCATCATTTTTAGAATATTGTAGTCTCTATGGCAATG